GGGCGGGGGGGAGGAGGGGGGAGAGGGAGATAAATGAAGCAACAGAGTACAGAGATAGAGAGGGTCAGAGATCGCTAAAGACATCAGCGAGTATGTCAAGAGAAACAGAGACAGAGATGGAAAGATCTCAGAGAAAGATGGACAGAAGTCGGCAAGGAGAAATCTGGGTGGGGCTCCAAGATTTCTGAGGAGACAGAGACTGAGAGACTGAGAAACTGACAGAAGAGTCGAAAGAGAAATTAGGAGGTGTGGACACCAAGGGACCAAAAGATGGGGTATTCAAGCACTCAAAGACTAAATGGTGATGATTGGTCAGTTATGTCTTTTTTTATTAAGAAAATGAAAATGATAAAAAGATGAAGACTAATGATAGACAAATACAGGAGTGCACATACACCAAAGATATCTTTTTCCAAACCCTAGCCTTCCATCCCATCCACCTTCCTGACCTTTGCTACACACCCCAGGCCTCCTGTCCCCTCCTGAAACCCCAAGCTTCTCAAAATGACCCAAAGATACTGAGACTGAAGGGGAGGAGCTGAGGGTGTGTGGAACAGTGCGGGCTGGAACCCCCTGCAAAGGAAGCAGATACCATCCAGAAAGGCTGGGGAAGATGGCAGCAGAGGAAAGAGAAAGACCAAGAGAGGGAAAATGTGGGAAATAAGGACATGAGGAGTTGAGGAAAATCAGCTAAGGATATAGGGTCGGGTGACTCAGATGAGACAAGAACAGTGTTGTCTGGAGAGAAAGGGAAGGCAGAGATGGAAGGTAGAAGAGGGCAAGTGAGAAGTGGGGAAAGGGCGACAGGAGAAGAGAAATGTGAGGCAGAAATGGATGAGGAGGGATGAAGATAGAAGGACCAGGTAAAGAAAAGTGAGGTGGGATGGGCAAAGAAGAAAGGTCCAAGATGGAAAAGGGGAAAGGAGATTGGAGGGCCTCTGACTCCCCTCAGATCACAAGCGAGAGCCCGGAAGGGAGGAACCCAGCAGGGGTCACAAAAGTCAGCCTAGGGCTGGACGGAGGGTGGGCGGCCCTTTCTGCTCTCTCAAGCCCTCCCAAGGCCACCCAGGGAACGTAGCTGCCTCAGGAGCGGGGAAATCCAGCGAGATGTGGAACTGGCTCCCGCCCTCTTCCTCCTCTTCAAGCTTTTGGTTTCTCTAATACCTGCCCGGCCTTTCCATCTGCTTCCCCCCCCACCCCCTTGGCAGAGATCTCGAGGCTATTGGTGGGGTGTCTGTAGGATCCAGGCCATCCCTCCAGCCCGCCCCCAAAAGACACACTCCACATTCGCCGGCAGTAGGTCGGGATTCGGAGAGGTACCTCCCCGCAGGAACCCCACCCCTTCCCACCTCCACGCCCCACTCCTTTCGCCGCGACCGTAGTCTCTCCATTTCCCCCTCCTGGTGTAGTCCTCCCTCCCGCCTCTCGCGCGCTCCCTCCCCTCGCTTTCATCCTCCTATCCCCACCTCTCCAACCTCCGCTTTCATCCTCCTCCCCTCTCTTCTCCTCCCGGCTCCCGCCTGCCCCACCCCTGGGAAGCCCCTCCCGTCGGGCAGCGCCGCTTTATAAGCGGGTTCCCTGCCGGGGGCGGCAGCGGCTGGTCGGCGGCAGCTCTGCGGGTGCGGGGGCGGCGAGCCGAGGACCGAGCGACCGCGGCCGGAGCGCGCCGGCCACCGCCCGCACCGCCCTTCCGCCCGCCCTCCGGACGGCCGCAGCCCTGCGGGTCTCCGCTCCAGACCCACCCCCGCCCCACCCCGCGCGCCTCTGCCGCCTCTTCCTGAGCCCCAGCTTGCTGAGCGGCCGCCGCTGCCGCTGTCGCCGCCGCCGCCGCCACCGCGCCAGGTTCCGGCCGCGGCCACCCTCCGCCGTCCAGGGCCCTTCCGTCCCGGCCCCGGGACCCCGACTCCCCGCCAGCCCCGGCCCCGGCCCCGGCACCATGTCGGAGAAGAGCGTGGAGGCAGCGGCCGAGTTGAGCGCCAAGGTACGGGCGGGGCCGGCGGCGGCCCGGCCCCCGCACGCCCCCCGGGCTCCGCGCAGTCGTGCTCCCCAGGCCGCCCCCGACGGCCGCAAGCTGCTTGCCCGGGTGCGGGGTCCCGGCGGACCCCGCTCCGCCCTCCCCCCGCGCCCCAGCCTGGCGCTGCCTGCCCCGCTCCGCGCGGCTCGCGCCAGCGCCCTCTAGCTTCCCGAGCGCCGTGCGGCCGGCTCCCGGCCTGGCCGCTCCGGCCCCGCGCCGTCCCCACCCCTCTCCGGCCCCGGCTCGCGCGCCTCCACCCCGGCCGGTGACCGTCGGAGCTCTGCGCGTCTCATCTACCCTGCCCCCTCCCCCGCGCCCCTCTCCGGCGCCCCGTCCCCTGTCTTCCCTTCCAGTCTGACCTCACCTTTCCTCCGCTAAGCGGTTTGAGAGCCTCCGGTGTAAACACGACTCTCCAGGGAGGCTGCTCCTCTCGGCCCCTCCCCTCGCGGCCCAACCGACTCTTGCTTCTCTCCTCCGACAGCTACTGCCTCTGTCTATTTTCTCCTTCCCTCCTTTCCTTCCATCTGAATCCACTCCTTCGTCCACTGGCCTTCAGCCCTCTTAGTCTGCATAGCCCTCCTCCAGCGTCTCCCCCCACGCTTAAAGAATCTTGAATTCCTAAAAACCAGAAGGGGGCCAGGAACAGCTTTCGAAAAAGCTGGGGCCCAGCATTGCATGGCATTGCATCGCGCCGCCCTTGCTCCCGTCAGCTCCCTCCCTGGCCCCATCCCTTCGGCCTTGCCTCTCTTCCAGCCTTTCTCTAATTTCCCTAGGGAACCTGCTGAGTGTCGCTTGGGGAAATTAATTCGGCCAGGGTTTGGGGGCTGGGAGCCCGACCTTGGCTGGGGGGTGATTGCTGAGGAGGTCACAGAGGTCTCCTGGAGGCCGGTGAAGTGAAAGGGGGAACCAATGGGATTCGAGTCAGTGGGAGACAGGGGCTCCGTGTGAGATCTGACAAGGTGTGCTGAGCGGCCCTCCGGTGGGCTGTGCGGTGGCATGTGACTTCACTGAGTAGGTGTCTTTGTATGTCTGAAATCCAGCGAGTGTGTGGGACTGCCCGTGTCAGTTACATGTGTGCGTGTGGAGACGTAGCTGTTCTGGAACCGTGTGGCTGCTTTGTGAGTGCCGAGTCGCTCCACTGTGCTCTTGTGCTGTCTCAAGAGTGTGTGCCAGAATGCCCAAACACCGGGCCATGTGTCTCCGGATCGCGTGGGCGCCCCTCTGTAGCTGTGTGTGAATCAGTGTCAGCCTGTGTCAGTGTGTGTGCCCGTGTTGAGTAAATGAGGCCAGAGAGCTGCCTAGCACAAGACCTAGGTCACATACCCTCCTGGAAAAGGGATCATGGAAGGACAGTGACCAGAAGGACAGGGCCAGACAGGGCAGGAGAGGGCCCGGCCCCTTGGACTTTGGCCTGTGGTAGACTCCCTCCCTCCCTGGCACTCACTCTCCTTTCCTCCATCAGCCCTGATGAGAAACTCAGGCCAGGGCCGTGCAGACCTGGTGCTGGGGCCCCCAGAGAGACGCTGACGATCCCCTGGCTCTCCAGGCCCAGGATGTAGGGGAAAGCCCACCAGGTAGTAGAAATGCCATACCGACCATGTGGCAGAGAAATGAGGACAGCGAAGTGGCATGAAGTGCCACTAGCTGGAGTGAGAAGGGCAAGCGTTTTGCGCTTCCCATAAAGGGAGAAGGGAATTGAGCGTCCCTCCAGGCCAACCACCCAGCACCAAACCTCTCTCCTGTCCCAACCCTGTTCCAGAAAGGACACACCCTCCCAGGGTGATCTACTCACCCAGAAAACTTCCATCCCCGTGGAATCGGATACACAGAGTTGCACACCAACACCAGATCCGATCCGATCACACAGAGACACCACAGTGCCTGCCAAGGGGTGGGGTAGAGAGAGGACTGGAATCTCAATTGGAAGGGCCGGTGTGGTGTCCCGAGAGAGGGGACTCTTGTGAGCACCTCCCTGGGCCCCATCACATCAGGACAAGACATCAAAGGTGTGCCTGCTGGGGTCTTGGGAAGGAGAGAGGGGCCGTGTGGAGGGAGGGGACTCTACACAGGGACCTTCCCCTCTACTTTCCCATCCCGCCCACACAGACCTCGTCTGTCTCTTAGTCTACCAGGTCCCAGAGTCTTTCCCTTCCACGTTTCCCTTATCCTGCTTCCCCTACATCCCCCCTGGCAACGGTGACTCCTACCCTTCTGCCACGCCAGTGCACACACCACACCAGGGCCCACACCGTGCCTGTGCACGCACCATGGGTGGTCCGGAGGAGGAAGCCACCTGCACTGCCTGGGGGCAGGAGTGGGCAGAAGTGAGAGGGGGCACCGGGAGTCGTGCTAAAGGGGCTCTTCCTATTCCTGTAGCGTTGGGCCAGGTACGAGCCTGAGGATTAGGGGGGCACAAAGGCAGAAACAAAGGCTTTTGCAGCTGAGAGGGAAGCTGGGAGGGATGCCCAGGAGACAGTACTCAGGAAAAGGCCCCAGAGGTAGACAAAAGGCAGAGCAGGGCCGCCAGAGGGAGGGGGCAGGCGAAGGAGGGACCTCCAGAGGGGGTGGGGCGTCAGGGCTGCGAGCAGACGGAGGGGATTTGCTTTGCTGAGCTGAACTCTTCAGCCGGCGAGGTCGGGCAGAACTTGGTGGGGGTGATGAGCGCGTACCTTGGCTGCCTCTTCCCGGGCTTCATCACTTATCTCCTCCCTCGAGTCTTGGGCCAGGTGTCTGGTCTCAGCCCCTCTGTGGCTGTGAGGACCCTGGGACCTCTGTTCAGTCTCTCAGCCGCGCCGCCCACTTTCTCCATCTCCCACTCCTCTAAAGTCACTGCAGACGGAGAACGGGGCCTGGAGGGACTCGAGGGCTGCAGATCGCTCGTGGTGAGAGGAAGGTGACCTGTCTCTGTCTCTCTCTCTCTTGCAGGACCTGAAGGAGAAGAAAGAGAAGGGGGAGGAGAAGGCGAGCCGGAAAGAGCGAAAGAAAGAAGTGGCGGAGGTGCGGAGGCGCCACCTGCCCGCCGGCCCCCAGCTCCCTTCCTGGGGGCCCGCTTTTCCCCGACCCCTCCCCCCCTCGCCGCCCCGGCCTCAGGCCCCTTTACCCTTGGCGGGGACGGTGGCTGGAGGCGCAGGGCCGTCCTGACACGTCCCTCTCCGGCCCGCAGGACGAGGAGAACGGAGCTGAGGAGGAGGAAGAGGCGGCCGAGGACGGCGAGGAGGAGGAGGAGGGAGACGAGGAAGGTGGGGGGCAGGGAAGGCGGGGCTGGGGGGCCGTCAGGCTGGGTTGGAGAGCTGGAGCGGGGCTGAGGGCCGCCACGGGGCGTCTCTGCTGCCCAGTGACCCATTTCTGGCCCCTCAGATGAGGAAGAAGATGAAGACGAGGACGCAGGGCCCGCGCTGAAGAGAGCAGCTGCCGAAGAGGAGGTTCGGGCCGCGCTGTGGGCTGAGGGGCTGCCAGGGGCGCAGCAGGGCCGGCCGCCCTTTGGATCTGGACCTAGATCCCGGTGGTGCAGGGGGCGGGCTGGAGCCGGAGCCGCACAGAGGGCGGCCCCTCCCCCGGCTGACGGCTACCGCAGCTCTTTCC